GCGGTCGTGGGTTGCGTGAAACGGTGTCAGGACCCGCCCACCCCCTTACCTCCATGCTATCCCACCCACTTTGGTTGGCAGCGAGTCATGCTCTTCTCGAGTCACGCAATTTCTAACTGCTGTATGGAGGAAGAAAAAGTCAGTTTCCATTGGCACTGCTCCTCGTCCCTCAAAACACCGCCTTAACAGTTCGATGCATCGTCAATACAGTCGAGTTTGAAATTGGGTCAACCAAACAAAATGTTTGCATTTCTTTTTCAGAACGTGAAAGAAACGTGGAAGAAAATATCTGCAAAATTGTAATACGGGAGATTTCTTCCTTGCTGCAAGTCCTAACTCAAAACCTGAAAAAGCTCTAAAACGAGCCCCCGAACAAATTTTCTTCTTCAATACTTTGGTCCATTGATACCTATGCTCTCTATCAGGTGGCTCTTCAAAGCGTGAATATTTTTTCCTGCTGGGCAGCGAGGATGTCTTATATCGCCTCAGTAATGGAAATCCTGCAGTTTATCTTTGCACGGTCGAGGCTCGAAAGCAAACTGCTATGGTCGACTGGCCACGCCATTGAGGCAAGAGAGACTTGGTGGAGTTGCATTCATGCGTCCAGCACGTAATTCGCTCCTCTAACTCCGAAAGGCTGATCTTTTGTGGGTGTTAGCCACCCACGTGATCATGTCGCCGACTTCATCTGCGAATGATTTGCTTGTTTTATCCTGACACATTTACTTCCTTGCTACCTATTTGTAGGCGCGGGCTGTTTCATTTCAAGCGTTTTGTTTTCTGAGAAAGAATTTGTCCCTTCCAACGCATGGTTCACGAATCCATTCGAAATTGCCGAATTTTTGTCTAAGACTTCTACGGGAGGAAGTTCATTGTTTATCAAGTGCTCGCCATTGGAAGGCGTGCCTTTATGAATAAATGAAAGTTTCTGTTCATTTATCTCTAAAGTAGGCTCCCCTCGCACATGAGAATGTTCCTCTTGCTCCACCGACACTGGCGAGGGGGCTGGAGACGATCGAGGGCTTGGATTGGGTGTCATCTGCGCTTGCACAACCTATGTGAAATAGAAAACGCAGTTTAATATTGTAGCGATTAGAAATCAGAACTGTTTACACAGGCATTCTAAACCGCAATTTATAGCCACTTTGAACTCGCTACAGTGCACAAAATAGGAAAACTTTCGTTGGTAAAGTAGTCAAGGCTGATGAAGTTAATTGCGGGGAACATGATAGAAAAGGGACCGCAATGTGTCTATTTTTTTTTCAGCCGAATTAGATCACACTGCTGAAGACAAATGTTTTGTCTGGAACTTTTCACACAGAAAATCTAAACATAACATGTCCGACCTCATATTTCTGTCAGTACTTTTTATATTAATTTACACCCAGCAGTCAAATTCGAGGCGGGAGATCTTAATTGTTGATTAATTCTGTCAGTCAGGCACACCGAATGTGGTTATGGTTTGGATATATCATAATTCGCTGCAAAATGCGTCATAAAATGGCAGCTTGGATAGAAAAGTAATTCAATTATTTGCCTCTGGCTCGGGCAATATGGGTAACCATACCCCACGTAAAGACATTAAACTTTGATTACGATTACGATTACGATTCCTTGCTACTGAACTTTTGAAATGAAACAGAGACTGCTGTTCATCGCTTAGAGGGTTTTGCCTTCGGAATCTAAGTAAAAGGGAGAGATGTGTTAGAAATGGCCCTTGTAGCTTCTATAGAACTAAAAAATCATTATTAGAATATTCGGACGTTAACAACCATGTACTCGCCGCTGTATTTGTACCCGGTCATTCTTCGAGGATCTCTGCTGGAATCATTCATCGATATTTATTTTTCATGATAAATCATTTGCAAGACAATGGTTGGCGACACAATTTTTCTACATAATGTTTGGCAGATTTCAGAAACCAGCAAGAACTTTGCACGGAGACATGACAATCCAATAGAATGATATTATTGCTAATTTGAGTCACAAGAAAACTTGTGTGAACATTGCCCAAAATTAAATTTGAAAACTGGTTTGAATTTGAAATTTCAATCGTATATTTGTCCCTGTGAGATTACAAGGGATATAATTATGTCAAGAACAAATTTTTAGGAAAAATAACAATTCTAAAAAGTCTTGAAAGATGTCCCGAAAAAGTGGTGCAGATTAGGTATTAATATGAATTTTTATTCGGGGGCAGCTCCAAAATATCACCCAAGCTTAACACCTTCAGTTTTACGACTGTGTCCTAACTTTGAAAAACGATAAAGGTGTCAAATCTTGAAAGTCATCAGCACATTTTGGGTTTGTTGGCAAAACTAAGAATTTTGCAAATTACTAAGTCTCGACTAAATTTACCGCGTCAAATTACCGAAAAAAAAAAAAAAAAAACCGCAAAGTTATAAAGCGTAAATGAGGTGCTAAGACGTTCATTTACATTAAACCTCGATTCTCTTCTACAGACTCTTGCCATCACTAAATGAGATCAGGTCCTAAAAGAAAATCCTATACATCACGCATGCTTACAATACTTAGTGTCGCTGAGTAATATTAGAACGAGTGAGTTTTCAGGTGGCCGACGGAGTCAAACTATCGGGTATAGGGTCTGGTAGAGTCCATTAAAAGCGACGGAAAATTTTGTCGGGCGTTGTAAAAAATTTAGAGCCATATCTTAAGAGAAAGATTGAAACATTAGTGGAAGGCAGGGGTGTATAGACGGCAAATATCATTACGAATTGACAACACAGTTCGTTTAAACGACTACAGCTGTCAAAAGAACACTTCGCGGCAACTGAAACAACCAAGCTTATTCAAGAAATACTTTTGACCACATTTCGGGTCTAAGCAACCTGTTTTTTGTCTAAAAACGAATCGTATTTCCCTCTCGCTGCGAGATATCATGATGCCAACTTTTACTAATGAAATTTTTGGAGCGCCAAACAAAAATAGAAAAATAAATGTATATTTAGCTTTTGCTTTTTTAATTTTTTTTTTTTCCATCCAGAGCAATTATTATATAGTTTAATTTGCGGCTGTCCGACAAATGTTCGCTATAGCAAGGTGCTCTCACAAACAGTGGTCGTAAATGCTTTGTATTCACAACCTTTGATATTTGTCTACTATCATAAAAAAAATTTTAAATATTATCATTTATAAATGAATTTTGATATTTTTTTATTAGAAACAAACTTGGGTGCTGCAATTGCAAAGGCGGGAACATTGTTTTGAAGCACCAACAAAAGAAACTTATTCTTTTGTCAAACTTTAGGGCGTCGTATTGAATATTGTTGTGGATCTATTTTATTTTAATTTCGGTGCACTGCGAACATAAGAACAAGCTAAATTACAGGTGCTTCCATTGAAAAAGTGACATCTTTATATTTTATTCTGAAGCGTCTTTGTTTTGTAAAAACTCTTTTTGACATCGAAGATATCTCACATCCTTTTAAAGTCAAACAGGAATTGAAGTTCGTTTTATTGCGACCGCATCAAATTTTCCGGGTTTTTATATTTGGCGGACTCCTTGACAAAAAAAAGACGTATGTCTCAAAATTAAGAGTCAGGAGCAACTGTAACGGTAACTCTGGTTTTAGAGTCGAATTTAGTGCTATATTTCACATTTACATGAGCATCATTCAGCAAAACAAAGGAAAACTGCGAAGGTCACAGATAGTTTAATAAAGCCTATCCATCAAAATTAAGATCGGAGGTTCATAGATGGTTCGCTTCTCTCGTTCTTTCAGACAGTCCAACTTCAATGAAAATTAAACAAACAAACGAAAATTATACAGGAGTAACAGAACTAAAACCAGATATTCTTGTAGATTTGACTTCTGATTTGATATCAGCCTTTGAAGCGATATAATTACTCATAAAATAAAACACTTACTAGTTCATTTCTGCTGCCTCTTTTTTCTGTGAAAGTATTTCTTCTCGAATTTACAATATCAGGAGCGACTTCCCTTTCAATTTCGTCGTGGCTGTCGCTTCTGTTTTCGGAAGACAAAGTAGAATCCTTCCTCGGTCCTTGTTCGGTTAACACTCTCTCGGATTCGACGGGAACAACTTTATTATTAAACAACAATTTAGGTCTGGTACAGTTTTCGGGGGATCCTTCGTTTTTCGAAATTTCCTCAGCTCGTTCAGTATTTTTAGTTAAATGAAGAATTGGCGTCGGGCCTTGAAAGTCCATATTGTCAGCAGATCGGCTACGATCTAAAACTGAACCAGCTTCAGGCATCCCCGCTTTCATCACAGACTGTGAGTTTATTTTCGGATGGATTCTATCTATTTTGGGCCTTACGCCATCACCGGGGCCTGCTGGACCCATTCCTAGTTTCCGTAAAGCTTTCGAATTCAAATTTCCAACTCTTAACGTTTCAAAAGGATCTGGCATAGCAATAAGTTTAGTTTTTTCTTCGATAACTCCACTAATTGAAACAATAACACCAGACATCACAGCCAGTCCCACGACCATATAGATGAGGTTAAGGAACTCCAACACAACATTGGTCGCCTTGTCATCTATCGCATCGTTACGATTCCCCGTCACAAAATCACCAAATCCAATGGTGGATAAAGTAACGAAGCAAAAATAAACCGAGTCTTCATACGACCATCCTTCGATTGCTTGAAATCCAAAAGCTGGGAAAATTATTATGACCAGAAGTAAAACAAAAGCTATAATGGCAGTCTTGATTTCCAGTTTATCTGATTCTCGGTTATACACCTTTCTTTCGAATCCTTTTATAATCGAAGAAATTTCCTCAGAAATCCGGTTTCCCACAGAGCGTAGGGTCAGACCCGTTAAGGGAATCCCAACTAATGCGTAAAAGATACAAAACCAACGACCCAAAGATGAAGTAGGAACTAGATGCCCGTAACCTGATGGAGAGAAAAAATGCAGAACAGTCAACGCTTAGCCACAGAAAGGTGTACAACTCAATCAGGGTTTATGTTCGAAAGCATACTAATGGAGTTAAGTGGAATAATAATAATAATATTAATAAGAATGATAATACTAATAAAGCTATAAAGTCACTTGTATGATTTGCTATGATCTCTTTGTATTTCACACTCAAAAAAAGAAAAAACCCTCGCGAAATATGGTGCTCAAACCTTCCATACAAGCGTCTCATGTCACATGTTCTCTTATCGCGCGTCTGGGAAACTGTCATTGCCTAAACTACGTTAAGCCCCAACAAATATTTGTATGAGAGCGACATATCAGTTAAATACAGATCCATTTTAAATCCAACGAAGTTGTTATTAATTTGTTCGGGCTATCAACGCGCTAAAGTTGTGATTGTAATTGTCGAGAGTTCACTCAGTGATTCAAACGAACTGACCACAGTTGAAGTTTGTAAATATATTCTTCCGCCAGTCAGTCTCGTGTCCTATACTGCCAGTTTCACTTGATATCCAAGCCCATTATTTTAAACTAGACGCCTAAACATTGCCGTAGTTGATTACTACACATTAGCATTCGAGCTAAGAAATACTTAACCCCCAGATATGTTGTTTATCTAAAGCATTTTAACGCTTTGTTGCGGCAAATGACCGCATTGCGTTTTGCGGCTAGATTTTGCGAGGCGGGCCGAATGAAAACAAAGGTATCGAAAACAAACTGTGCTAGCTCGATAAAGTGATCATTTTCGTTCCTTACAACGTCATGAGGATTGTTAATTTAGAAGTGTAAAATCGTGAGTGGCTTTGGCCGTTTTTCTAGCAAGAGTAATGTTTAAGGTTTGAATAGTAAGGACAATTCTATGCCCTTCAGGCTCGCGTCTTTACAAATGCTTTTGTAATACTCCCGATAAAATTGGCTTGCGTAATGGCTTATGATATTACTTACCTACAAGATTAATGGAGGAGAAATGACTGAACCGAAAACAAAGTTCTGATAGACACAGAATTATGAAAGAGTGTTCCACATCGTAGCAACGCTTAGAAGATTTATCGCTTTCTTCGCACTCTATTATAGAAGGAAACTAGCGGATAAAGTAGCGAATATATCCCTTCTGTAAAAATTCTCAGAGGTTTTTGCTTGGGCACCCAATTAAAGCATGTTGTTATTAAATATCTGGGTTGAAAAAAGAAAATATTGGTTATATACATGGGAGAGTGAGTTTCCTCTTTTATTTGGCTGATTATTTTACACTGTTATAAATTTCCTCGAGTGCTGCTGTATGCGTTTTCCTCGCCACATTTAAAGCCTTGAAAATTTAAATATTAAACAATCATTGGACACAGCTGCTTCAGATGAGACGAAGCCAAAATTGACCGAATCTGTAATGTCTAAGCATCACTATGACTTCTTTGAATATATGCGAAACTCTATCGATAACAACTACGATCTGCCCTCTGAATAAAACACATCGGCGATCCAAGATCGACCTTAGACAATGGCGCAAAGATAAATAACGATTTTGGCTAGCTACTGTAATAGGTCGCTCTTAAAAAGCTTTCATTTCATGCGCGCTGTTAGCTGTTGCTAGGGCCAATAGTGTGTCAGTCGTATCGCGCGGATTTCAAGCAAGCGAAAAATTAGGCCTCACTCCGCGCAAAATCTATTCTACAGTTTCTCTAATCGCCTGCAGTTAGGTGCTTTTGAATTTTAACTTACCAATAGTAGTAACTACATTTCCAGCGAAGACAAATGCATTCATAAAATGCCACTGATCTTCTTGAGGAAAATCTCCCTTCTTCAAGTCGAATCCCAATGTTATAGCGTCCTTTAGTTTCTTAAGGAACTCGTTCATCTCATTCTCGCTAATATTGTGCTTGGTAAGAAAATCGCGCTTGAAGACATTAAATTTGTCTCGTACTTTCTTCTCTTGGCGAGTTTCGATCTCATGAAAAATTGCTGCTCCAACGAGAAGGTAGACGAGAAATAACACAATCCGTATAATCAGCTTCTTTGTGTTTTGACTTAATGCCATAATTAAGCCGGAGTAACATAGGGAAAAGAAGTTGAGGAAAGCATATGAACTTCAGCGGGATTTCACATCGTCGGAAGGTCTTCGGGATCCGCTAGAAGCATGGCCGATCGTCGCGAAGGCAAGAAAAACACGTTACAATAATATGTTTCGCCGCCGCTAGATTATTCGCTGTTTGGTTGGTAGGCTTGACAATATGGCTTGCATCGAAGACGTTACTACCTTCAACACCTGTTTAAGGAGCATGCGCAGTTAAATCCTCTACAGCGGCAAGCCTTCATTAAAGTTGGATCACTAATTATTGTGAGTTGGATGGAAAACCGTTGATTGAAAAGCTCTCCTGCGAGCTGCAGTGAGGACTTTCATTTATAATCCATTCTTTCAAAGAGTCTCATTTGGCTTTCCTTTTCAGAACATACGCGCGAAGGAAATTTATCCGAAAAATTCCCGGCACACGTTTGAGATAAAATTTCCCCCTCGTGTTGTCGCAAAATGAAAGCTGGTGTGACGTCATTTTTATTTTGTTGTGAATATTGCATTGACGATAGAGCTTTTCCGGTATAGCGTTTTTCCTCTCAGCTCTGAGCTCACAGACAGCCTGTAACCGATTAGAACATCGTCAGAGCTTTTGGTTGAAAATTTCGCGTTTTGTGTCACGAAGTCTCAACTATATAATGCTAAATGCGAAAAATTCAATGTATTGTGGGAAAGAGAAACCTGTCAATTTTATCTAGAGAAACTCCGAATGGTTCTTTCCTTTGAACCATGATATATGTTTAAAACGGTCGTAACAAATTTGAACCCATTCAAGCGTACACTCAGTGTAGGCAGAACTGTACGTCGATCGATAAATAACCCGAAAAAACATTCACCTATACGTTTTGCGTGTTCTTGCTAATGAAAACTCGAGAGTTTTTTAACTTAACTGATATCAGGCAGATCGAAGTGTTTTATACGTGTTTATTAGATGAAAGTACCAAAGACTACTGTTTAAATCATATGGTGAAGAATTTCCAAAAGGTTAAATGGATCCTCAGCTACAATAGCAAAGAAAAAAATCTTTGCATAATTTATGGTCTTCTTGTAATTTTCAAGCCGACTGTTTTGGCCCGCTTCGCCAAAATTCTATAGGGTAACAAAGGGTGTGTGCATTTTCCTTACACGAGACGGCGCCACGCATTTGTATTCAAATCGAAAGCATGCCGAGAGGAACTTATTTCTCCTAATCAAGATAACCCAGTGTCTTGCCATTACTCGGGCCGTGATCATTAAAACCAGCTAAAAAAAAAAGTGTGGAAGGTTCGAACGCGAATCACCTCATTGTTCGTTCGTGTTGTCTATGTTCGCAACAATAACATTTATACGTTTCCATGACAATCGCGGGAAAACGATGCCAATTTTTTCTATTGAATAATAGCAGGAAACACATACATGTTAAATTGATCTGACAAAAACTTATTACCAGTTGCGGCGAATTCAAGATGCAAATCGCATTTTTAGTTTTCTCGTGTTCTGACATTGAGTCTTCTGGCGTGGTGTTTTAAAACGTAAATGCCACACTATATTCAATAACAGGGAGATTTTATTGAACAGATTACCAGATATCTACTCCTATCCCAGGAAACCAGACCATTACGAGGGAGTTTCTCTACTTTAATTTTTTGTGAGTCAGTTGCACTAATTTGAATTTAAAATCTACAATTTTATGTTTTCCTGAGCAATTCTTAGCTATGAGTCAATAAATATATGTGACGTGTGTTAATTGTAATGGATGTTTTATCATTCGATATGGCTTATGTCATATCGGTCTTCATTATCTTATATAGTGTCCCAGGCATTCTTAGGAACGTTATAGAAAAAGTTGGAAAAAAATTTCAAGTGCTTAAAAGCAATAAAATGGCAGCTTTTTTATATCTAAAATAAAAACATTTCCTGAAACTTGTGGCAGCATTGTGGCAAAATTGTGGCAAAATTGTGGCAATTGGAAACATTATGCCCCACGCAAAAAAATTGACAAGTTTGGCGTCATGGTATCAAAAAAACTTCGGTTTTGACGACACAAGTGACCCCTTGCGCCAAGGAAAAAGCACGCTACTTGTTAAATTTATATTTTAATTTGAAAAGCGGGCATACAGAGCAGACTAGAGTGGTAACATTATCAATTATTAAATGTTTTTTGCCTCTACGACCAACAGCTAGGATGAAAAACAAGGGTATTCCATCCGTCTTCTTTCTTTTTGAAATTACCAAATTTATTTAGAAAAAAAAACTACGAGGAAACATGGCTATATGTATAACTTTTAGAGGTAATCAAAATTCCTCAGTTTTTGTATTTTTCCACTGTTTCATTATATTTGCCGGTGCCGGAAAATCAGACACGGAAAGTTTTTCAACTGTTTAATGATATTATGATCGATCAAAAAATATCCTGTAGCTTCGGGTACTACGTTTCCGTGAAAACAGACAAAATTTCTTTAGCGAAGCAACCGGCTGACAGTTTTCCCAAAAAGAGATATCTTGAAATACAGGTGTCCCCCACCGCCCATTGAGATGTAAATATAAAGAATATGAATGTGCATGCATGTTTAGATTTACTACCTCCACAATTGTCACCCCCTGCGGACATGCGCAATAATACCACTTCGTCTCCTCCGTGGGGGTGCAAGCCACCAGTAGCACGGTGGGGGGTTTCCCAGGGGAAACCTCTGAGGGGATGCTCCGGGGGAAATTCATTTGAACAACAGAGGAATCAACCCCTTTTTTGATTCGATAGAAATTTAGGCATTGCGGTTCGACCCACGATAAAGATCGATTTGATATTCTTTAGCCATAGAAAGGACTGTTATTTTATTATCTTAACATTGTTAGTGTTTGTATCGAAATTCTGTGTCGCTTACAAGTGAGATGGCATGCTCTCTACGAGGGGGAAAAACGTCAGGCGGAGAAGGAACCCAGAGAGGCATTCCCCGATGTGCACGTAGAACGAGATGAAGAAAGACTTGTAATTTCCTCAGTCCCAGCCCCCTTCTCCCCCGTCGTGGTTTTAACCGATCTCTTCTCTGAGTTACATTGGTAGATAATTATGATCAATTACACCATTAACTTCTATTAATCGCGACAACTTGTCACTGTTGAGTAACTATAAACTATTTCATGCACTAAACTTGTTCTCTAGATATAAAAGAAACATCATTAGGCAAAACTAAGCGGCCCTTTTCGCTAAAAATATGCTACTTATCGGCAGCTGTAGACAAAAATTTTGTTTTTTTTGTTCGATCATATTCTATTGTCATGCATAACGTTCATAAAGAAAGTCGTTGCACGTTCCCCATTTATGTCTCACGTTCATTGCTTAAATTTCCGTATTGTAGCGTAAAACGAATATCAATTACAGTTTGGTTAAATGATTCCGTGAGACATACGCGCGCAATACTGAAAGAATAACTCAAGTCGTATTTTTGGTAAGCATAAATTAATATCTTTCTTTCGTACTGAAAATTAAGCTTTAATGTTACGTTTTATAAAAGGTATTTCAGAACTTAATTAGATGCTTTAAAAGCCCAAGGGTTTAAAAGGTGAAATGATCAAGTTATGCTGTTGCCACAGAATACACATTAGGGACTTTAAGTAGTCAGGACGGCAACGCCACGGAAGACGTCGATTAAAAAATGAGTTTCTACTTTTAGTTAGAATTTCGAAAATGGCTGCATGTGTTTACCGTCTCATAGGGCGCCAGACCTCAAACTCAACATAACCCATAAAAGTAGCATTGAGTTCCAAATGTAAATTAAAATAACTTGCCGCCGCGGTTTAGCTTCACAAACGACGCAAATTTTGATGATTTCACGTTGTTGTTTTGCAAAGGACGGCTAAGAAATGTACAAAGTTTGAAAACGCACGTGCTGGGCTATTGTTCTGCCAATTAGATCTATTGTTTTTCCACGTTCTCGTTGCCGTAGCCGTCGTGGTTTGCTTAAAGTCCCTAATAGTCGACAATTGAAGTGTCCAGACGCTTTCTGTCACAGCGAAAGAAAAGAAGAAAAAAAATATTAAAGTGAGACAGTAGTTACGCCAATATGAGAGCTGTCTCAATCTTTATTTCGTTAACAAAGCAACAAGTTACTAATGTACCCTTTTCGTTTCACTTTTGTTCTCCAAGTAAAACCTGGAAAGATGTCTTAAAAGCTTCGCCTTGTCGGACGAGACATAAGTAAAGCCGAAACAGCTGCACAGGGAGACCGACTTCATTGTTTATTTCCTCGTTGCTTTTAAATGGGGTAAAGAGAATGGGCAGTCAGCATCAATAATGCCTTTGAGCGAATTTTCTGGTTGCATCTGACACATGACAGAGACTATTGTTGTTATTTTAAAAGATGTCAACCCAGATGCTGTATTTGTCATGACTGCAAAAACTTTTGATGAGGTTTTTCCTCTGACGTCATGAATATAAACATTCACGTTCCAGAGTAGTAATGACGTAATCTTGTCATTGGACGAATTTAGTATACCCGATCTAATTCTTCAAAGTGTCGAAAAAACTAAGTCATCGCTAAGGTGAGGGCGTAGATGAATTTTTGCTATTTTTTTAGGTAGCCCACATTGAAAATTTAAAAATAAAACGGGAGGGGAATGGCCCAGTAGTGTGAGCACTCGCCTCCCACCGCTGGCCTGGGTTCGATTCCCAGACTTGGCGTCACATATAGGATGAGTTTGCTGTTGGTTCCCGTTCTCATTCCGAGGGTTTCTCCCCGGGTTCTCCAGTTTTTCTCCCTCCACAAAAACCAAAATTATAAATTCCAATTAGACCTGGAAACAGAGGACAAAGTTAAATTTTCACTATTAGTAATAGAACTATTACTATTATTATAAAACTGAACGGCCAGTATTTCGGCACACGCATGAAAGTTAAATTTATTTATTATTACTAACAATGATTATCATTATCATTTTTATTATTATCGTCATTATGATTATTATTGAATGCGATACGAAAGCAATTTTGAATATATTAGTCACTTCTTCCTACAGGAAAAAAATTGTCTTTGAGGAGAAACTTAATTTTCTTCACTTGCAGCAGACAAAAAGGAAAAAAAAACGAAATAAAAGATGCCTTTTAAAAGTTCGAGAATCTCACTCACTGATTCGAGACTAAGAATCATATGTTTCTTTAAATTGGAATTAAAAATTACATTCAGATCCAAGGCTTCGCGCTTAAAATAGAGGGATTGGACATATTTTTGAAATTAGCTTGAAATAATAAAAAACAATAAGACAATATTGCCTCGAATGAAATAATATAAAGTTGATCGATAAATCAATAAAAAAAACTACTAATACATAACATGTCACTCTTCCCAACATTGTGTTTGTCATTATAAAATATTCAAAATCCCAGAAATGTTTCCCAGCTGAGCAATTACAACTCACCCACGACTCGCCACCTATTAATTAATATGTTAATACATTTCTATTATTTGATAAGGTGGGATATTCTTCTTTTTAATCCCTAGCTCTTTTAGCGAGTCTAATTTCTAAATCAAAGGTAAAGATGGAGACGGCTGCATAGATCAATCTATGATCTGTTTTACCTTAATCTTCAATCTTTTTCTCGAAAATTTTAGTTATCATCGGTATGTTAATGACTAAAAGCTCGGTGACACAGTTGGCGATTTTCGTAGATCGTCATAAACGGGTAGATTAAATTTTGCATCGACAGCGATTATATATGTTGGCATTCGCCTGGTGTATTTGTTCCCCCGATTTTCTATTCACCGAAGCTGAGAACGCTGTTAAAACTTCTAGTTGCTTAGTGCTAGCCTATAAGCTTAACCTAAGCCAAGTAACTCATTGGAACATGTGCAAGTGAAACATATAGGAGGAGGTGATTGTTATTATATTATTTTTAATATTATTATTGTTAGTATTATTATCATTATCAATATCTTCGTTATAACTGTCTTTAGATCTATGATTATGGGATTAATATTCATGAACAGGGAAGTTATTACTTCTTATACTAAACACGGTAGAACCCTTAAGCAACAACGAAATTTAATGAATCTAATCTGAAAGTCAAAGACACAATTGGAAAAGCTGTTCCAACCCATCTATCTGTACGCGGTATGAACAGCACTTACAGTCTTACAATCAACCTTACGCCGAGAAAATATGGAGTCCGAGAAGTTATTTCCAACACATGTCCTTCCCGCTTGCTCATAAATTTTTGAAACTAATTTTAGTGCGTAATCTTTTTTCTTTGTGTTGTACGTATAATTATCACGAGTTCCATTTGATTAAATACTTAAGATGTTACTTGCATTGTTTTAAATCATTTCGTTTGCGATCCCTTGCAAAATATCTATATTTGGTTATTGACAAAAGACACACATACACAAATTCATGAGAAAAAAATAGATTTTTAACCCTCTGAAAGTCAATTATACCTATTAGTGGAAATACTCTTTTTGGACAACAGCGATCGATGAATTCGTCTGAGAGAGATGACAGGTCTCAGTATTTTAAATCAGTTTTCTTTGTCGGGGTTCCAATCAATTAACGGCAGAAAATGATTTTCCCAAAATCCAATTCTTCTGCGGGTAGGCTCACTTAGAATCTTTTAACGTGTTTTGTAATATGGTGGAGGAACGTTCAAATACCAGTACGATAATCTCTTTAAATCCGAAAGCTTCAAGTCGCCCAATTAAGATCAAAAATGGATTTAACAAAATTTGTTAATGGATTTCAACGTACCCGTAGTATTCGACTTAAAATGATACCGTAAAACTTAGCAAATAGGAGACAAGTGAGCAATTTGTCCCGTGGAATCATTTCGGTTGATAGAAGAGAGATTGCGAATACTCTCTTAACAGTAAAGGTCATCTATGGTTTTCTTTTATTTCCGAGGCTGTTCCAAGCTCAAACGTTTTGTGAAGCTTTTTCGGAAGTCTTTTAAGTCCTTATAATTGTCCGAGAACGCAAGAAGGCGTTCTCGAGAGCCAGGGGAAACGTTGGGACTTCACTAATGAGAGCGATGGATATAAGCCGGGAAAATTTGTCCTACGGGACCATAATTTGATTCCCACAAATGAATGTGGTTAATTCTCAGTAGAGAGGTTTCCCCAGCGAAAGTAAAGGTGCAAAATTCTTATACCCATTGTCTTAATCTGACTGTTTTTGTAGATCAGTTATTGTTCTTTTTGTCACATCCGATCTTTGACGGAGGTGCCCTCAGAGAGGAACTCAAATCCTGAAATGCTTCAATTACGCTAACAGAAGGCAAAGGGCGAAAAATTTAATTCCTTCTCTTCAAATGGGTCAACTTCCCCAGCTCAGCCTGGGGCAACGCGCATGGCAATGATGCATAAACATGGACCCCATGTAAATCTCAAACGACTTTCCCGGGGGTTACAAAACTCCGGGCTTCCGAAGGGCGATAGTATTACGCAATTAATCTTTAACGAAGTTTTGTCCAAAACATTGTACTTTCTGAATAGAACCTGCTGTTGTCAGAACAACACATGACATCAAATTGATATATTTATCATGAAATGTGCATCGCTAAATCATAAAAATAGTTTCGGTCTTCAAAACTCCTCTTAAAAGGAAATTTCCTCCTCGATAAATTGGTATTCGTCTCTCTCCATCTCCAGGTGTAGCTTTAATTCCATTACGTCTTTGAAAAGCTTTTCGAATTGTTGTCTCAGCGACAAATCTTGGGCTTGCATTAACGTAAGTTCGCCTTTTATCCATTCAATACTCATATCAACATTTGAAATCCTTTCTTTAAGACTCAAAGGTCCGTCCTGTTCAAAAATGGCTTCGTCATTTGAAAAGGTTTCATTTTCTTTTACTTTCGCTGGACTTTCAGACGCTGCAGCGCCGTGTTCATCAGCACAGTTTGCTAAAATACGTTCTTTGCATTCCTCTGCTCGGTAATTTTTCAAACTAGAACGATGGATCGTAACTGTAACATGTTTTTCTGACCCCTCTATCTCGGCATCCGCAGCGTGATTATCTGTGTCCTCTGTTAAGACAAAATCGCCACAGTGCATCTCTTGAGTGGTGGAGAGAACTATCCCATCTGATGTGAACAGCGACGTCTCCAGAACATTGTTATGATTGTTTATTTTACTCGGTCGCTCCTCTGGTTTCCCTATGTAGCTTGTCATCGAGTACGATTGGCCAAACTTGTAATTATTACCGTTGTAACAGCTATCGGAGAATTCCTTGTGTGCGCTTTGTTCGCTAGTTAAAGTTTCCATGGCCGCCATCTCAAACACGGGTCGCTTCCAAGCTCGGTTGAAAATGCGTTCAGCGCTTGCTCTTCGGTGCAGATTGGTTTGTTTTCCTATTTCCTTGCTGTAAAGCTTTCTCAAACGATTTACCAGTAGACTAATTATTTCCTGTTGGGTAAGATTTACCCCTAATCATGTTATTTCCCTCATCACCCACCTAAATGTCAAACTTGGAATGTAAGTTAATTTTAGCGATGACTACTTCGCGTGCCTCTGGCACGTTAACCGGAAGTCCTACTGGTTCTTCAACTGATAAGTGCAGAATAATTGTTTGTTCTTAAAACGTCCTGTAGGATGCATCTAAAAAACTATGGGTGATGCTGGGGAGCTAATAAGATGTGTAATCGAGTATTAAAGACAAAAAAGAGAAGAATTCAGGTCCGAATGCACAACAAAAAAATCGAGTTCGATTTGTCACGCAATGTTTTGCGTTATACAAATTGCAGAAGTGAGTGGAGACTGGGTTAAAAAGTTTCAAGATGGTGCCAGAGAAATATAACTTCGTTGTGGGGCTCTTAGTGGTGCTTTTGTTTCCCAGTAGACAAATTTCTGCAGATGTCGGTGATGGTCAACAGTCTCAGTCTCAATCTCAGCGAAATGTGACCAATATTGTTTTGATTGGCGCCACTGGGGACCTCGCAAAAAGATATTTATGGCAAGGGTTTTTCTCGCTCTTCATACAAGAAACAAATGAGAGGAACATTGTAAAAGTCTACCCAACGGCGCGTGAGAGTGTCGAGTCTGGCCAAAAAAAGATTGATGATATCTTAAAAGAATCTTTAAAGTGCTCTGAAAGCGAACACTCGAACTGGTGCGCAGATAATAAAAGAGTTTTTGTGGATCAAAGTGTAAAGGAATACCACCGACTAAAAACTGACCAAGATTTCATATCACTGTGCCAGATTATGGGCGATGATATAGCGGCAGGCGAAAGAGAGGAAGGTCTCATCTTCTATTTATCGGTGCCTCCCTTTGCGTACACACAGCTAGCACAAAGGATCGATTCGTTCTGTCGTCGGCCTGAAGATAAACGTAGCTGGATTCGCATAGTGCTCGAGAAGCCATTTGGTTCGGACCTGGCATCTGCGCAGGAGTTAGCTCGAAGTTTGTCGAATTATTTCGAAGAAAAGGAAATCTATAGAATTGATCACTACCTTGGAAAAACAGGAGTTGTTCATATCTTAGAGTTTCGGTACAGCAATCATAACTTATACAAAGATTTGTGGAACAGTGATCACATTGAAAGAGTGGAGATTGTTTTGAAGGAGAAGAATGACTGTGAAGGGAGAACCAGCTTCTACGACCATTATGGTGTCATCCGAGATGTTATGCAGAATCACATGACAGAGCTTCTTGCTCTGGTTGCCATGGAGTTACCAGACAGTCTGAATGACAGAATAAGCATCATGCAAAATAAAGTGAGGCTGCTTAAAGAGATCAAAGCCATGGATAGATGGAGTGGAGTTATTGGTCAGTATAAAGATTACAACTTGCACTACCACCAGGAAAACAAAAAAGATGAAGACTCAAATACACCAACTTTTGCTGCTGTGTCCATCTTTATCAATAATGCTCGCTGGAATGGTGTGCCTTTTATTTTGGTTTCTGGAAAGCAACTTGACGAGCGTACAGCTTATGTGCGCATAGTTTTTAAGAACAATGTTCATAATGTCCAATCTGGAACATCTCATGATAATAACTGTGATATCAGGCAGGTAGTGTTCAATATTCAAGGTGAGAAACTTACAAAACCAGGATTACTTCTCTCAAGTAATCTTCCAAACCCAAAGTCTTTTCATCCATTTACATCAATTGAGAACAAGAAAGATCAGCTGTTTGGTTGTTCAGCTGACAGTTTTAATGCATTTATCTTCAAAAAATCAGCTGATGCTTATACCACTCTAATTTCTGCTGTCTATCATGAGCAAAAGAACTTATTTGTTGGAATGGAAGATCTTCTATCATCTTGGAAAGTGTGGTCATATTTTCTGGACACTTTGAAAAGGGAAGTACCTCGTCAGTATGACCAGAAAAGCTTGGATGTGTTGAACTTTGTTAATTCGGGAGAAAGACTTGAGTTTTCTCTAAATAATGATGATGGAAGTTGTGATGCAAACAAGATATGCAAATCCACTGAACCATCTGCTAACTATTACAAACAAGACAAATTTAGAAACAGTGACCTGGTTACTGGAACAAAATCCCAAGTAATAGAAACTCTTGCCAATAAAATTATTGGTCATGCCCTCAGAGAGGTATCTGCTAAAGGGGTCTTTCACCTGGCCTTGTCAGGTGGTACCTCTCCTGTAATGCTCTACGAGACCTTAGCATTTATAGCCAAAGAGTTTCCATGGCATCACTCCCATGTGTGGTTTGTAGATGAACGATGTGTCCCTCTAAACAGTCAAGAATCCAATTTTGATTTAATATATAAGAAACTTTTGCAACATGTACCAATTTCTCCTTTAAATTTTCACCCAATGCATGTCATGTTAAAAGGTGGATTGTGTGAGCCAAGGGATGAAGGAGCTGAACATTATGAGGCAGAGCTTGGCAGGTTCCTCCTCAGCGACAATCAGTTGGATTTCGTAGTTCTAGGATTAGGTTCTGATGGTCACACTGCGTCTTTATTTCCTCATCAATCAGCTCTAAATGAGAAGAACAAATTTGTAACCTTGTCTGAGAGCAGTCAAGATTCTGGGGTGAAAGAGAGGATGACGATGACTCTAGACTTGCTTAACAAGGCTAAATCTGTGGCTGTTCTTGCTCTGGGTGGTCTGAAGAGGGATATTGTGAAAACTATTTCAAGTGTTGAAGTTGATGTATGGAATTACCCTGTAACTGGCCTTAACCCAGAAAATGGGGAATTGACTTGGTACATTGATAATGTTGCTCTTGAAAGTCATTAACAGAGCTACAGCTGTACATCACAGCTTTTGAATCTTAAAAATTGTAATTATGTCATATTTTAGAATCTGGACAATTTGAGTAAATCTTCCCCATTCCTAACCAATTGTCATTTCCATTTAATTTATTTTGCCCCGTACAGGATTTTTTCCTATTGTGTTGGATTAACATTTCAAAGCTCCCTTCATATTGAAGGTAATTTTGCTTGTGGCCTCCCAGAAAAGCACACTTAAAGAATGAAAGTCATTTTATATGCAAATGTAACCTGATCATAGTGGGAATGAGACAGTAGATTTCTTGATGTCCCAGAATCTTAAGACTTTGAAGAGTCTCCATTTCTTGTTCTAAGTCATTGGGTCAAAATTTCTGATCAGGCAGCTACCTACTGGCATGATTCAGTCAGCCCAATCTGCATGGCTAGAGTAGTAGACTACCATCACAACATTGGAGTGGCTGCTAATTGATATTTGTTTGTTTTCATTCCCTCCACCTTTGTAATGTTTTTAGTCTTGTAGTCATCATCACCAATTATAACATATAACCAAAGTAAAGTGCGCACTCTGATTGGTCAATTTAGCATCCCCCATTTGCCTATGGGTGTACGCTGCAGACGTGAGCAAATGTAAAGACTATTTTTCCACACGTGCTTGTTTTTTCTGGTCACGTAAAAATTGTTCAATGAAAGGGAACTCTTTAGCTACAATGTATCAATGTTATGTTATAAAACAAATGGTAAACACCACAGCGTACACTATTGAGTTATGGATGCACTTGGGAGGTTTGCTAAGCACTCAAGAAGCTAGAGTCGCTCTCGGCTATCGCCTCGAGCGACTCTTACGCTTCTTTCGTGCTTAGCAACCTCCCGCGTGCATCCATAACTCAATAGTGTACGCTGTGGTGTTTACCATTTGTTAATTAGAAAATCTTTACTAAGAGATTTCTGGTTGTTCGATTTGATGACGCACTGAAGCGCGGGGAGAGCGCTCGTGCCAGTTCTACTCCACATCACACATTGCTCTAAGTGTGGACCCTTCGTTTCATCGCCCAACCAGCTGCTCGCCCAACCTCTCTCAGCCCCTGGTTTCAGACTTCAATTCCCGACGGAGTTACTTTCATGCTTTTCACGCTCTCCAAGATGAACGGCTATCTTCTGTGCATTTTGCCATTATTCACTTTGCCAAACGGTAAACGAATTGCCGCTTGACTTCGCATTCAACTCTTGCATACTCTGGTATGCTCGGGCATGCTTTAATTATGACAATCAGTGTAGTTAGGAGTTTTCTTGGGCATTTCTGAGTGTTGTTTAGACTCAGAAAACAAATTGAACCAAAAATGGTAATCTAAACTAAAATGACAATTTTCTAAAAGCACAAATTTAAAAAGTTTAATTTCTGCTGTCGCGCTGTTCAAAGTTTGTTTGATTATGGGTGTGAACCTAATCCATTAACGCAGCAGTAAATCTATTTATAAAGGGCTTGCGTCTGTAAAATGAAAAGTGGTCAAAAGTTATATCACGTTGTTCACTGCTCATTTCCTAAACGGTAAGTGGATTTTCACTCTAGTTTTATTTTATTTTATTAGATTCGCCGACCGGCAGGGACACCGCAACAGCTTGCGCCAATTATAGAGGGCCCAGTAAACTCACCCATCCCACCCCAGGGGAGGACATCCATCACACAGTAATCTCGTGTGTGGGAAATTAACGTCTCCTACCCCCAACCCTGCAGGAGACGGGACCTCCATTTATTCGTCCCTATCCGAGAAGACTAGAATATCTAACCATTTCTTGATGTTATAGAAAGGTAGCAAATTCTTCTCAATTATTTTAAGACC